CCCCCCCCTCTAACGACAAGCGCCAGCAACCTAACGATAAACACCCTGATTGCTATAATAGCCTTTTGCTATTCCTTATCTTCTCTTCCTGCCGCTGCCTTGCCTCGTCCGGATCGCCGCGCAGCCCGCCGCGCGATTTCGCCGCGTGCAACCCCGACGCACCAAAAGTCCCGCACTGTCGAAAAGAGCATTCCCAATGCTCGTAATACTTCTCCGCTTCCCCCTTAGGGGTCTCTCCCCAGCCAGTTACAGGAATTGATTGAAGGCGAAGTTTCATCGTTACAGAGAGCATAAAAAAGGACTCGCGCATCTCCTCGACCTCCTTAGTCATGTTACCTTCGATGTCCAAAAAGAAATTTGGTATCGATCTGAAATGACAACCTGCTTTGAAGCTCAAAGCGTTACACTACGTCACGCCTGGAGCCCAAGCCATGCTCCAACAAAGAAGTCTTATTGGCCGATGTCAGACTTTGCGATTGGAGCGATTGTGCACCAATTGCAGGAGCGACGGGAGATTTACACGGCCGACCACCGATAATTCGGCGCCATCAGCTCGTAAATCTCCCGTCGCTCGCACTTTGAAGCGACGGATCGCTCAAGCGATCCATCGCTCGGGCCGTGATGTGCCTCCTTGGCCGTTGTGGCAGGGAGCTGCGAGCGACGGGAGATTTACGAGCTGATGGCGCCGAATTATCGGTGGTCGGCCGTGTAAATCTCCCGTCGCTCCTGCAATTGGTGCACAATCGCTCCAATCGCAAAGTCTGACATCGGCCATTCATAAGCCTAGATACGGCACATCGGAATGCCCTTTTGGCTTTGCCAAGCGACAAACCTTGCAGGCTTTTATTCTGCACCTCTCATCTCCAACACTGTCATCAACTTTATTTGCGGTAATTGCACAAGATACTGTGAAGTCTTCTAATCTTCTTTGGAAATGACCGGAAAATCAAGGTTGGGGCATATATAGCACAGACAACACCGATGTAGCATAAAAGTTTCGCTAGATCGGAAGTTCAGATCAGAGCAACTGATGTAATCAACATATCATATAACTAGTCTACATTGTGAAAATAGTATTCAGAGAGCTGCTAAAACATTTCAATAAAACAAGCCGTATCAAGTTAACCGAAGTATAAAATTCGACAACATATGACAACCATAAGAGTGAATGAAATCCATAGATGAAAGGTCAGGGAAAGCTATGAAACGCATATGTACAGTAAGAGCATCCCGAAATTTAGAAATCTCCGCGTTAGTAAACAATCACTAAAATATTGTAGAAATGAGAACATATCGCAAACGAGTTCATGGGTTTGGCATAAATACTTAGCAAATGCAGAACTTTCAATTCAACCTATCCAGTAAATCGATGATGCGCTCAATCGATCTGCATCCTCCAGCTTTTTTACTCTGAAAAAGACGAGAAATTATTTGAGGAAATTCACTCCAAGTTCTGTTCAAAACCTGCCCGTGACAGCCACACTCTACACAAGAAACATACATATTTGGACAATTGAAAAAGTTCGACAACCAGCCGCACAGGTTTTAGCGCAAAAATAAATGATGAGGCAATAAATCAAAACAAAACCCACCGCTATTTTCATGAAATCCAAGAAGCGTTGTAATTGATCAATCATTGTAGCAAATGAACCACCCTGAAGATGTGAACGCACAATTGCTGCGTGACCCTGAAAGAGAACCTTACAGCTCTTAAGTTCATGATATGAAAGTATGCGAAGTGAGTCCAAAGTATTGTAAGCGAATGTAATGACCACCTAGATAATCCATTTAAAAATTATCGTGAAGGATTTCATTACGGAAATATATTATTAGGTTGGAAAGAAAGTTCTGCAACACTCTTTCCAAAATTTTCTTTTTTTCTGAAAAATTCATAGGTAACATTTATGACTACCAAATGATAGAGCATTCTCAAGGCTTCAATCCACGAGGTGGATATAAGTTCTGCAGTGAGTAGTATCCAAGAAAATTCAAAAAATCTCGACCACTAGCAAATCCGTACTCCGAGTCACTGTCTAGTACAAATGTCTACAAAACCATGGATTCGTGTCAACGACTGACACTATCTGCAATAGCTTCTAATGGCATGCCGTTCAGCGATACAGCGTGTTTCACCTTTACCAGCGCTTCCGATCTTTTGATATTTTTATAAGAAGCCAGCAGCATCCCTCACACTCCATTACAGGTAGGGCTCTTACAGAAGCTCCACTACATACCCTTCGTTATGGGCACCATTGTGTAGGCAGTGGCCTAGGTTGTGGAAGTACCAGAAGCTGGCCGAGGTAGCTCGTCAAGAGCCCTCGTACCGCGACAATATTCATTTCTTTCATGACATTGCGAATCACCATGATCCGAAATGAGCCCGGTAAGAAATTCTGGAGTTGCGGCAAGATTTCTTTCCTCTCTTAGCGTAATCCCCTGGTCGAGCTGTAAATAAGTGCTACCTATCCTGGACCTTTAATCATCATCTTTATAACGAAATAATCAGACGATCAACTCCAACTCGAAAGTGAGGTCGCCTCCTTTCTCGACTCGCACTCCGCTGGGTTTTGGCGGAGGAGGATCAAGAAATTTTCTGAGCGATGGAGACAAGTGGTGGACACTCATGGTAGATATAAGACCAGTCAGAGAGTTGTAACCAAAAAAGATAAAATTAAAATCAAAAATTTGAAAAAGTGTTGCAGGACTTTCTTTCCAACCTAATATTATGTAATAACTTTGTATATCCTGCAGTTTTGCGGCCCATGAAAACGTGCAGTGTTGCCGGCCCACTGAACTTCTGCGCTGTTCTGTACTGGCCACTCGTTTGCGCATAAATCCCATCGACCGAAACTACTCGAACTCGATCTTTAAAGCAACAGTCCCAGCAGGGTGGGCGTGGTCGGAAACGGCTGCAATCCCCTCGGCCGATTCCCACTTCGGAGCTGTTCAGCCCCTAGTCAAGAACGTAAGAAGTGTGACTGAACAAAAACTCACCTTGGAAAGCCGCTAGGCAGGGAGCTGAAGTGGGCGTGGTCGGAATCGGGCCGAGGGATTGCAGTCGTTTCCGACACGCTCAACCTGCTGACTGTTAATTAAAGGAATCTTGCGCGGAAAATTCTTGCACTCTTTCCTAACATGAATATGTCAGTTGTGATCACTGGAAATAGCACACAAAGTTTCACGCATGAAGATTCGGTTTCTGAAGAGAAACAAACGTACAAAAACTACACGTTATGGACCATCGAAGGACCAGGAGGCAGAGCCAGGCGAGGCATGGAAAGAAGACGGCGTTTGGCCGGCTACGTACCAGGCGACGCAATGAGAGAATCGGGTTAAAGCGCGCGATTTCGGAGAGTGGAGACAAATCGATCGATGGAATAGGATGGAGTAGAAGTGTAAGATGTGAATGCAACGAAGCAGAAGGCCAGAAAGAGCTTCTAGTGAATGCACTCCAAGAACCAAGTTTGAGCATCCCCGTCGCCAGCATTCGTGAAAGACGTCCGTGGGCAATTCGAACGCGTAGCAGCCTTTTCGAGTTTTCGAATTTCTAATCAAAACGAAAGCAATACTTCAGTTCTTTTCACTATTATCGTGGATAATGAGTCTCAAGCCAGTGATTTATGGCTGAAATAGAATCATGATTTTTCCGCGCAAGATTCCTTTAAGCTGCCTCACTCGACACTTTCGTTGCGCTCTCTTACCTTATCAACGGCTCATGAACCACTGTGACTCATAAAATAAAACTTCTCCACCACTTTTTTTGGAATTACTTGAACTGATAATAAGAATACATGAAATAATGAGAAAATATAAATTTTAATTTTATAAATTTCAAAAATATGAAAAGTATCAAAGAATTTGTAACGAAATGATTAAAAAAATGTAACGAGCACTCATTCTGCACTCGTTTTTTTTGTTTGTAAAGCGACATATTACGGTTAGCTCTGTAAATGCGCCGACGGCGATGCTGAACTCCATGGACTGAACAGCCCGATCAACCGGGAAAACGCCAACGAGAACCCGTGCTATCGATCCGCTATTGCTATTGTCCTGTAATGCCTGCGATATGTAAAGCAGGGAGCCGTGGGATGGCCGCTCTGTAAGCTGCTTCCATTTTCTTCACATATATCAGCGCAGTGCAATACTATACTGTAAGCTAGTCGTAGACACCCACACAATAAAGTACTTGAGAATGCAGAACGAACAACTGAAAGAACTCTGCGGTTACGTTGTTACGGAGCATTCCGACTACTCCATTCTTACCCCTTTTTCCGGGCTCTCTTCCTTGAAATATGGAGCGACATAATCCCTTTAAGCCTAACGTAACCTAGTGAATCTTGAGTTTCCCAAGCATTTTGAACCGAATACTGTCTCCATGCGACATGGTTGCATGATAACGAGATAGCATACCATGTTGGACGCCATAACCCACCATTGCAGATGACGGGTAGGCTGGCAGACCAAGTCTGTAGGTGCTTTGGCCGATGTCAGACTTTGCGATTGGAGCGATTTGGTCAAGATGGGAGTAATGTGATCATCGCGCGATTCGCGCGATGGTCGCGCGATTCACATTACTCCCATCTTGACCAAATCGCTCCAATCGCAAAGTCTGACATCGGCCATTGCCGGCGCATAGAGCAGCATGACTTGTTCCCGCCACTCTGCACTAATCATTTACCTTATTCTGAGCCTCACATCTCGCTGCCTAGAGTGGTTCTATTGCTGCTGCGCCTATTGTGCCACCTTTCTCCAAAGGACCTTCATCATGGAAGATTTTCGCATATACAAAATAGTAATGCAAATGCCGAAATTCGAGCGAGGCAAGAGAGAGAACAAATAAAGTAAAAAGTAAATACATGTGAAGGATTGGAAATAAATAACAAACCAAAGGAAATAAAAAAAAAGAACTGAAGTGCAAACGAAGGGATGCAGATGTGCTACAAGGTAATCAAAATAAAAGGTACCTCATTTTGTTGCAGTAAGCAACCGATCAGAAGAGCGACGTAAGAAGCAACAACACTGTCCTCCATGTGCGCGGAAGCCTCAAATCCAATATCATATTTATGATTTATCTGCAGTTATCTTTATCTACCTATACCTTGCTCATGGCATCTTGTACTGCCTGTAACATCTCACTCTCATTCATCTCGTTCAACTTCCCTCTATCTAATCGCCCATCGTCTCTACTTTCTTCATCAGTGTCATTGGTCTCCTCATCAACAGGTTCCTGCAAAAGCCGATTAACATGCGTGATGTCTCAGAAGGGGAAAGCTCCTTGACACACCTCAAACGCTAAATCCTTATCCAAATCCTCATCAATATTCCGTGCTTTCGCTTCGTGAACTGTGAACAACTGAACAAAATAGAATGACAAACTCATGTAAGTACAAGCTTGGTATGAAGAGATCGCATAATATTGTACAGTCTTACAATTGCA